TCGATTAACAAATTCTCACGACAGCCGGTTCTACGCACCGGAGTTGACCCGGACTTTATCCGGCCAAGGGCTGTCACCCTTTCGGCGACCTAACTCCGTTTAGGTCTACAGGTAACTTTAACATTGACGAACTTAGAGTCAATGGAGGAACACCTTGCAGCCATTCCTCCACCTCAGTTAGATGCACCCAGTGCAATGGTTGGAGCTATCTTAAGACCTGCTCAGGCCTTAAGACTCACATGGAATGTACCACTAGTTAAGTGGCCCCATGCTGCCAGCGTCCAACCGCCCCCTCATCCTCCACGGCAGTGCCTTCAGCACCTGTACCCACCCTGGGTAATCAGCAGACCTCTACGGTCTTATGGAGCTCCCCGCAGCATGATTCTATCGCGAGCGAGACCACGTTCATCCTGCACAGCACCGTGTCACCACTGGTGAACGTTTATTCCGCAGGGTCGTCGTGACCGCTGCCGCCCGCTTCATCCCGGCAGGCCGAATTGCGGAAATCTGCCCAAATTTTCCGAAAGAAGCGGCGGTATTAGCATCCAGGCACGACACTCTCCGAAGCTCCGATCGCGGGAATCCCCTAAACAGGGATGACCGGGTGGAAATTTCATTCGGTGATCACGCCTTGTCGGACCCGAAAAGATGCGCGAGCTATTTTAGCCCACTTTTCACACTGCATCCCTCGGTAGACAAAGCGAAACGACGTGTAACCCGTCGTGTGCGCAAACTGCCAAACACCAGAGCGGTGCTTGATTTCTCCAGGGAGGACGTTCAGGGGGTCATCGGGAAGGCGAAAGCCTCCAAATCCATCGGCCCCGACGGAATAAGCATGCTGATGCTGAAACACCTTGGACCAGCGGCAACAGAAATTTTCACCAGGGTCCCCAATCTGTCTTTGACCACCCTGAAGATACCCAACATGAGGAAAATGGGGAGGGTGGTCCCGCTATCCAGACCGGGGAAACCAGCCAACAAAGGAGAGTCCTATCGACCGACAACTCTCCCTAGTAGCGAAGACACTTGAGGCCTTACTGCTCCCGACTTTCACTCACCATTTGCGTCCAGCAGCGCATCAGCATGGCTTCCGAAAAGTGCACAGCACCACAACAGCACTTAACACCATAAACACCCAGAAAGTCCATGGCCTTAACCAAAACCGACCCTGCGCGCGAACTGTCCTAGTAGCACTGGACTTGTCAAAAGCCTTTGACACAGTAAATCACTCAGTGCTACTAACGGACATTGAGGAATCCTCATTACCGCCGGGGTTGCAGAGGTGGGTCATGGGCTACCTGAGTGGTCGACAATCATCGGTAATTTTCCGAGGTGTAACATGTAAACCTAGAAAAATAAAACAGGGGGTTTCGCAGGGTGGTGTCCTCTCCCTGCTACTGTTTAACTTTTACATCTCGAAACTCCCTCCACCACCAGAAGGAGTTTCCCTAACCTCGTATACCAATGACTGTACGACAATGGCGTCTGGCCAGGATATTGATGACCTCTGCTCGAAAGTAAACGGCAACCTCGCTGATCTCTCCAACTTCTTCACTGCAAGACAACTACGAATTCAACCGACAAAATCCTCGGCTACCCTCTTCACCAGCTGGACGAAGGAATACAGGCTTGAACTAGATGTGAAGGTCAATGAAACAAAAATTCCGACGGTAAATAACACAAAAATATTGGGAGTAACCCTAGACAGCCTGCACTCCTTCACTCCGCATACGACCGCAATTTCCGCAAAAGGCCGAAGCCGCAACAAAATACTCAAAACGCTAGCCGGCAGCACCTGGGGTAAAGACAAAGAAACTTTGCTGGCTACTTACAAAGCAATTGGACGGCCGGTCGTAAACTATGCTGCACCGATCTGGACGCCGGGAACGAACGAGACGCAGATGAAGAAGCTAAAGACTTGCCATAACACCGCCCTCAGGACCTCGTCAGGAAACCTCCTGATGTCGACGGAATATCACTTGCGCAGGGAGTTAAGGAGCTTAATGCTTTGCCGTGCAAGCAGTTCCTATTGGGATGCTACCGCAAGGAACACCCTAATACACACCTAATAGAGGCTGAACCTCCACCTAGGCACATCAGAAAGGGAGTACTAGACTTAAAGGACACAATCCAGCAACACATACAACAACCGCTGGACAGGACGGCGTACCGACAAGCACTGAACGCCATTCACCAGGAGTCAGTCAACACCTTCAAGGATACCACCACCCATAGCAGACAACGAGCTCGAGCTGCCTACAGAGACCTGCGTGACCCTGACACAACTCAGGTCTAGATATTGTAGGAGGTTAAACTTCTACCTATCCAGACTAGACCCCAGCATACCCAACGTATGCGCTGCATGTGGAGAGTCTCCGCACGACACTAACCACCTCTTCAGATGCTCCCTCAAAACCCACTCATTTAACCCCCCTCTCCCTTTGGTCCAACCCCGTCGAAACAGCTCGTTTCCTGGACCTACCACTAGGTGACCTCGGCGACTTAGACTGATCAAACTTTATTAACACATTTGGACAAAAAAGGGGAAATCAATTGCAGTAGATGCTTCAAATGTTGGTACTACTCATTATAACCATTAGTATATTTTTCGCGAAAATTAACTCCAACTGAAATTAATTATGTAACTTTCGATAGAGAACTGTTGGCAATATATATTTCAATTTTCAATTTCAATTTCAAAAATTTTGTCGAGGGTAGAGTTTTCACTGTTTACACTGATCATAAACCACACATGTTTTAAATTCTAAAGCAGATAGATCTACTAGGCATATAAGACATTTAGAATATATTGCATAATTGGTAATGATATTAAATACATTTGGGGTAAAGATAATAAAACTGCTGATCTTCTTCCTCGTATTCATTATTAATTCAATTTCAACAAGACATAAATTTCCAAATACTAATAGTAATTTAAAAGAAATAAATATCCCTTTTCTATATCTTAATATTTGGTGTGATTTTACACAAACACCTTTTAGACCATATGTTCCCAATTCAATGAGAAAAATTATTTTTGAAAAAATTCATTCTTTATCACATCCAAGTGTTCACCCAACTCGACGTCTCATTCAATCTAAATATGTAAATGCTTTTACCTTATATGCGTAAAAAAATTAATAGTTGGATATTTTCTTGCATTAAATGTCAGAAATCTAAAGTTACTACTCTGCAAGACGGCTTCCGATCATTTGAGCCAACATATGTCAGGAATGCATGACGACATATCCCGATCAGAACGATTTTCCTATCACTTTCTTAAGGCCGAAATGACAAACGTGATGTTGACATTTGTATACGTGTACGTCATTCTCTCTTCGTTTCCTTGTGTATTTTTGTCGGACTCTATCTTTGTTTTCTTGTGCTTTGACAAAAGTTTCCCTGCTTATACACATACATACAACAATTATTAAGATTCAGCATTTATTCCAATATTTTTACATAGATCATTTACATACAAAAATATATTCCCTTTCAAAAATCTGCAAAATATTGTAAGCAAAACTGCATATACAGAATCCTTTAATAGTGCCACGCGTTGGTAATTCAGCTCCTCAGCTCTACGAACGCCTCCGTCAAAATCGCGACTCTCTTGAAGTTTAAAAACGTCCAAGTAAAATAAAAAAATAATATTCGAATCTGAATGTTATTAATATCTAAATGCAGTCATACCTCACACAGTTTTATTGAATATTTTTAAATCTGTTGTTGCTGCAAAGTGAGAAGCGTCCATTCCAGTTAATCTGCTCCATAAGCTGAATTTCCCGTACAATATGGAGTGCCCTACAATAAACAAATATAAAAAGCAATGAAATATTAATTTCCATATTGTTAATTATTGACAACATATTTTACCACAGCTTGCACAGGACCCTCAATATATATTTTTCACTTCTAAATGTTGTGGAGAAAACGATAAGAAATAGGGTTCTTCTCGAGAATGAGAAAAAAGTTAATCGGATAATCCCTTCGACTGCATTCTTCTTCAATTTGTACTCAGAAGACAGATATATAAAAAAAATTTGCATATGTGTTAGTGCTGGCCGAAATCATGTGAGTATTTTGGTGACCCCATCAGTCCGTTCTTACAGGGATGGTTCTAGTAGGACCTATCCCAGTTTCAAAAGAGAATCGATACATATTATCCATATCCAGCGGTTTCTGTTCATCTACATTTATTCAAAATTATGTTTATCGTTTCGTTATAGCACTCAATATAACGGTAGATCAGGGAACATAATTTACTTCAAAATTATTTGATGAATTAACAACATTATTATGTTCTCACAAAATACATATCATCCAGAGTCAAATTAAATGATTGAAAGATTTATCAAAACTTTGGAAACTGCAATTAATTAGAGCATCGAATGATTCAGTAAAATTTTACCGTGGATTATTTTAGGCTTACGAACAGCGATTAAGGAAGATCTAAAATGTTCTTCACCTGATTAGTTTATGGTCAAACACTGAGGCTTCCAGGTGAACTTATTGTTCCCAATAATAATTATAATAACGAAATCGATGATACAAATAAAACTCTTTCTAAATTAAGAAAACCTTTCTCACTTGTTCGATCGAGAGTAATAAATCATCATAAAGAAAATAGTTTCATTCCTAAAAATTTAAGTACTTGTGAATATGTATTTGTTACTCATAAGTCTAATCTTCAGTCAAGGACCGTTTAAAGTTATACAATATCAATCGATTTACTTAAACCTGCGAAGATTAATACAACTTCCTCACGAGACACAAATACACTGACAAATAGCAAATAAAATGAGTTACATTTAACCTTAATTAATATTCTTACAAATGCGTTTCACTGGAGAGGAAGTAAGTGTAGGAATCTACTTTAACATTTCTTTGTTTCTATATATATATATATATATATGTATATAGATTAGCTTATGCATCTATAAGCATAAATAGCAAACATGAAATATAGCAAATAAATAAATAAAACAAAAAGCGAAGAGTTTAATTCATTGCATATTATAATTTAATTAAATCGATCAACGCGTTTAGATACAATAATCCATTAAAATCGGATAAAATTCTAAAGCCAACATATTTCAAATTTTGTAAACAAAAAATTAAAGTTAAGCCCAAAAATCTCAATTCAATGGAATTAATGAAAATGAGTCTTAAATTTCTATTTTTTCATAAAACATTTGGAATTATACGGACTGAGTGTGAAAAATTTGAGTTTTTGGTGGCATATATTAGTTCTAAAAGGAAAAATAGTATTAAATGAGCGCAGTTATTTTCATTTATTAAAATCTAAATAGCAAGTAAATTTTTATGGCTCATTTGGTCCAAACCCTTCTTTTATAACAGTTTGTATTTCTAACAAAAAAAAATCATGGGTTATTTTTATTAAAATTAAAGCTTTATGTATTTACACATAAGGTTGTTTTTTTTTATCAAATATTAGGTGACACTCCTCTTAAAATTAGTGCAAATAAGTTTATCTACTTTTCTAATTTGCTGCAAACTTTTATATGGTCTTCGTTAAATGCTAGCATGTTTGCTCGTACCTTATTTTGATTTCGAATTTGTTCTTTCCTTTTTAAGTACAATATATATCCTCTACTATTAACAAAGAACGGATCGAGCTTATCTTTTTTCAAAATAATCTTATCACCTAAAACATATTGATTGTAGTCTAAAACTTCGTTTTGCTTAATCTGTTCATTTGTTCTACAATATTCTGGTTGGGATACGATTCGTGGATGTTTTCCAGCTTCATTACGAAACTCTACAACAAGTAAATTAGTTTGCTGGGCGATTTCTTCGTGGGTTTTTTGTTGTAATAATCCCAGAAAAAATGCTTTAACAATATGTTGCAAATTTGTGGAGCCTTCTATCTTTGCGTACAAATTCCGAATTCCAATGACTTTGCAAATAGTTTCAATTGCACGGTGACAAATAAGACCATAACCTTCCGGTTTTCTTTCTACAAAAATTCTTGTTTGACCAAATGCGCAAGAGAAGTCATGGAATATTGTGTGGCCATCACACAACTCAATTTTTATAGTTTTTTGAGCTGCTCTATTCTTAGATTTTCTTAAAGCAGTTCTAACTTCAGGGGCTTTGGCGACAGCAAAACCTCCCAAACCTTGTTTATTTCCAGTAATCGTAAGAACTGAGTAACGTCTTTTTCTTCCCATATTTCCTTTCATAATAAATACAATTTTATTTTCAAGAACCCGTGTATCGAAATTGTCAAAATACTCATCTCCAATCGGGTCAGGTGGCCCAATACTACGGCCAGGCATTTTTGCTCCAGACCAACCACGATCTATTGAACTTAACTTTGCAAATCGAAAATTGCTCATTTGATCTCTAATTTTTTGCATATTTTTATCAACTTCATTACTCTCCGATAATTGTTCTTGCTGAATTAAAGTCTTCCCTCGGAGAATAGGAGCGTTTAAACCTGGCCACAAAACATTTTTGCTTCCAACTCCAATTGTCTGACCCCTGTTGAGATCTTTAGCTAACTTTTTACCAGCCCCTTTTCCTCTGCCTCTTTTCTTGCCAGCGTTGCTTACAGATGTTACTCCACGCCATATGTCCTCAGCAGGTACTAAAGGAAATTAAACATAAAATTATGTAGATTTGAACAACACATTACAACATATAAATCAGTTTTGAAGTGAACAAAGTAAGGTAGATGACTACAATATAGTTAAAAAAAAAAATTAAAAACTAGCTTTTAATGTAAATTCCAAAGTTAGTTAGGTATGATTTCTTTATATTTTGCTTAAGCGACCTATACACAAACCAGTATGCTTATAGATGTACTTAAAATGACAACGGTAGAAGTGTGGAAGTGTCTGTGCACATTTCAAAGAGAATTTCCGATTTATTCTAAGCTTTTATTTAGTTAACCTTCCATTCTCTAATAAAATTTAGCATGTTAAATTCGAAGCACTTGCCGGTTTCATATTGAGCCTAAATTTTTAATACACGTATAAAACGGAGGCAAAGAGATCTTTGGATGGAGCGGAAGTTAGCCAAATGTTGAAAAATAATAGCCCAGCTTTGCCAAGAGGAAGGGAATTGTCTCATCGTGATTTGTGATATGATCTTTGGCTTGATGCCACTAGTCAATAAAATCAGGACAACCCAAGAAAGAACGAGCTCCATAACTAGCGATTATGCCAAAATCGGTTATGTGTCCAAAGGTACATAAATGCAAATATGCTGACAATTATACATATGTGAAACTTACATTTATTGTAGAAGCTGGTGTATCGTAAGGAATTTAAGGAACTCCAATTAATGCCACTTTGTATTTCGAAATGTCTTGTGAAAGACTGCCTAACTGCTCCAAAAATCCGCAAAGCCATTTTAGATATGCATTGAATAACTTAACCATCAATAGCAACCAGTTCGGCTAGAGATGTACCGATAACATCTAATACTCGAGTTCTCGCATTCAAACCGCTTAGTTTTTGCTGTCCAAGGTAGTCTATACTGTACAAGAAGTTGCGCTTTGTCATAGTTAACTGACCGTTTGTGTGGGGTATCAAAGTATCCTTTCACACGCGTCACGTCTGGCTTACAAGTTCGTTGACGAAAGAGGTGAGAAGAAAGGGGAAGGGTACAAATACCTCGCAACAAGCAAGTCTTTCAATTTTTCTTGCCTTGATTTTGACATTTTCCCCATTTCTTTTCAGTTTGTTTTTCTCATATCCGTGTCAAAATGAGCGCATAGGCAAATAAAATTTGAACGTTGACGCATGTGAAAGCAAATTGAAAAAACAAAAGAGAACGCAAAAAAATTGTTTTCGAGACTTGACACATTTGTAAGGAAACATCGTGCTAGAAATCGTTTGATATATAGGAGCGAAATAAATTACATAGTTACAGAGAGTTGTACAGTTCGAAAACATAGAATTTTGTGCTTACGATAAAGAAGCTGAAAAACAAAAATTGCGATTTTAGTTTAACAATCCAATGATTTAGCTTGAGAGATTTGAGGATTTTACGTGGCGTATTTAGCGAAAACTAAAACGCGCGTGTTTAATTTAAATTTATCGGGTTTATCAGCCATTTGAACGCTTAAATGAGGGATCTTTATGCTTACGATGCTAATGTTTTGGTAGAGGTTCACTAGCCCCGTTAGAGACAGGTTAAATAAATCTAAGCCGGTCATCTAATGGGAGGTCCAGAAAACATGATGTTCCGGCGGCATTGGACCAGGGGAAGAAAGGGGGTTAGATGTGTCGGCTTAAGGGGGCATGTGATGTTGTTAGTGTCGTGGGGAGACTCTCTTCATTCGGGGCATACGTAGGGTATGCTACGGTCGTGTCTGGATAAGTAGTGCTATAATATTCAGACCTAAGATCTGCCAAGGTCACGCGGGTCTATCGAGGCAGCTCGATCTTGTTGTCTGCAATGGGTGGTGCTTTTTCTCCGAGCACGCCATTCACGAGAAGGGAGTGTTTGAAGGTATTGGCTGACTCCTGGTGAATGGCGTTCAGGGCTTGTCTATACACCGTTCGGTCCAGCGGTTGTTTCACATATTCACATAGTACTCCTTTTCTGATGTGCCTAAGTGAAGGGTGCAAAAGCTTTTGACAAATCCAGTGCTACAAGCACAGTTCGTGCGCAGGGTCGGTTATGGCTAAGGCCATTAACTATCTGAGTGTTTAAGGCGTTTAGTGCTGTTGTGGTACTATGCTCTTTACGAAAGCCATACTGATGTGCTGCTGGACGCAGATGGTGAAAGCAGGTCGAGAGCAGCAAGGCCTCACTACTGGGGAGCGAAGAGTTATCTCCTTTGTTGGTCCCGTGGGGTAACATTAGGGTGGTGAAAGACAAATTGGGGACCCTCGTGAGAAATTCTTTTGCCGCCAGTCGAAGGTGTTTGAGCATAAGCATATTTATTCCGTCGGGTCCGACCCAACCCCCCTCCCTCCCTCCCCACCTTTACCCTAGGGAAATTGAGCGCCGCATTGGTGTTTGAAGTTTATGCATACGGCAGGTTACACGTCGCTTCGTTTTGTCTACCGAAGCATGCAGTGTAAAAAGTCGACTTAAGTTGCTCGCTAATCTCTTAGGATCCGACGAAGCGCGGTCACCGAATGAAATCTCCGCTCGGTCATCCCGTCTCGTCGGGTTAGACAACAACTTCACTCTGGCCCATAGCTTTTTTGGACCAGAGGAGAGACTGCAGGTTATTAAGTGCTCCTCCCGCTTTTTCCGTTTGCGATTGTTCATTACTTTACGAATCTCCGCGTTTCAATCCCTACTTAGGGATTCTTGTTTATTTCGGTCCGCCCTTCTATACACGATGCGCTAGAGGCAAATAAAGGAATGGATAATAACAAGAGAACGAACAGCAATAACATAATAACAAATATGATTATTATGAGCAGCGGCACTCAAAGTCCTGGTAGCAAGATACCAGAAACGTATCTGCTTAGGAGAACGCTGACCGCTAGTGAGTCAGCGCCGAGGCTAACCCCTTTAGACGTGCAACTCTCACGACAGCCGGTTCTACGCACCGGTTTTTATCCGGTCAAGGGCTGTCACCCTTCCGGCAACCTAACTCCGTTTAGGTCAACCAGCTGCAAGGTGTTGCTCCAAATCCTTCTTATCAGGGCTGGTGTCGAAACCAACCCTGTTCCGACGAACTATTCCTGCTGCGTGTGTCATAAAAGACTCCACCACTCCTCCACCACGGTTAGATGCAACCAGTGCAATGGCTCAGGCCTTAAGACCCACCGGGAGTGGACCACGAATTATGTGGCCCCATGCGGCCAGCGTCCAATTGCCCCCAGCCTCCACGGCAGTGCATTCAGAACCTTTATCCACTAAGGGTAATCAACAGACCTCTAAGGTCTCACGGAATTTCCCGCATCATGAGGGAGGAGGTTCAGGGGGTCATCGGGAAGGCGAAAGCCTCCAAATCCATCGGCCCCGACGGAATAAGCATGCTGATGCTCAAACACCTAGGACTAGCGGCAACAGAATTTTTCGCGAGGGTCCCCAATTTGTCTGTGACCACCCTAATATTACGCAACGTGAGGAAAATGGGGGGGGTGGTCCCGCTACCCAGACCGGGGAAACCAGCCAAACGGCTACCTCGCTGATCTCTCCAACTTCTTCACTGCAAGACAACTACGAATTCAACCGACAAAATCCTCGGCTACCCTCTTCACCAGCTGGACGAAGGAATACAGGCTTGAACTAGATGTGAAGGTCAATGATACAAAAATTTCGACGGTAAATAATCCAAAGATATTGGGAGTAATACTAGACAGCATGCACTCCTTTACTCCGCATACGACCACAATTGCCACAAAAGGCCAGAGCGGCAACAAAATACTCAAAGCGCTAGCCTGGGGTAAAGACACAGAAGCCTTGCAGAAACAGGAGCACCCCAGTAGGCACCTATCAGAAGCTGAACCTCCACCTAGGCACATCACAAAGGGAGTACTAGCATTAAAGGGCACAATACAGCAATATGTGCAACAACCGCTGGAAAGAACAGCGTACAGACAAGCACTGAACGCCAGTCACCAGGAGTAAGTCAACACCTTCAAGGACTCCCTTCCAGTGAATGGCGTGCTCGGAGAAAAACCACCACCTTTAGCAGACAACGAGCTCGAGCTGCATCGAGAGACCTTGACACAACTCAGGTTTGGATATTGTAGCAGGTTAAACTTCTACTTATCCACACTACCCAACTCAGGTTTGAACGTATGCCCTGCATGTGGGGAGTCTCAGCACGACACTAACCATCTCTTCTCATGCCCTCTAAAATCAACTAATCTAACTCCGCTCTCTCTTTGGTCCAACTCCGTCGAAATAGCTCGTTTCCTGGACCTCGTCACCCTGAGAGCAAAAGATTTTAGGGCAACAACCCTGTAAACGAAAAGAAAGACACCGATAATGAAAATGGATGGACAGAAGTGAAGCGCAAAACGAAGAACGAGAAGATGAAAACGACTTTTGTTCCACGTCCCAGACCAGATGCAATAATCATTGCACGTGCTGAAATCATGTCTTATAGCGATATTCTTAGGGCTATCAAAAGGAAGATAGAAGACGGTGAAGATGCCGTCAAAAACATTCGACAGGCTTACGCGGGAACGCAGACAGCATGGATCAGCCTCCCGGCGACGAACGCAAAACGACTGCTTGACGCCCAAAAGATCAAAGTTGGATGGGTCGTCTGCAGAATTAGGGAAAGGCCGAGACTTAGAGAGTGCTTCAGGTGCATGGAATATAGCCACCTTGCAAGGGCGTGCACCAGCGAAAATGACAGGAGTCAATGTTGTGCCAAGTGCGGCGATAAGGGGCATTTTGCGACAGAATGCAACAAAAAACCATCGTGTGCAGTATGCAAAAGCAAGGGAAATAGGAATTCGGACCACCGAATCTGAAGTTGGAAGTGTCCTCTATATCAAGAGGCGAGTAAAAAGGCCAAATGAGTGAAGCTGCGCAAGAACTTCTGAAGCAGACAATCTACGAGAAGAAGGTAGATGTGGCGATAGTCTGCGAGCAATATGAAAACATAAGCTCTGATGCATGGATCTGTGATAAAGAAAGCAAAATTGCCATATGGGCCTGTGGAGATAAGACTTTCCTGGACAAACCGCTCCGGGGAAAGTCATACTATACACGGGCGAAAATATGTGGAAATTATTTCTATAGTTGCTACCTCCCCCCGAGTGTATTCGAAAGGATTCTTGATGAACTAGTTCATGAGGCCCTTACCACCACCAAAAACGTGATAGCAGGTGATTTTAATGCATGGGCAATGGAATGGGGTCGTAGCTACACCAATAGGCGGGGCCATGCCCTGCTCAAAGATTTCTCTTTATTAGATACAATGTTACTTACCACCGGCATGAGAAATACTTTCGATAAGAATGCCGCGGGTCGATAATAGACACTATGTTCGCCAGCAGGATACTGCTTCAGGAAAAAACGTAAGGAGCGATTAAAAGAAGTAAGTCGTCAAGCTTTAAAGAGCTATGTGAGAAAGCGGATGAGAACCCATGGGATGATGCGTACAAAATTGTAATGACGAAGATTAGGGGGAGCAGAAGCAAAGCCCCAACATGTCCTATCCTCTTAGAAAAGGTAGTGAAAGCTTCCCTACGCAAGAACCACAATCGAGTACACCATAGATGAGAAGGAAGTAATTACAGTGGCAGAGAGTTTCGGCAAAGCAAAGGAGCCTGGACTTGATGGGATCCCAAATAAGGCGCTTAAAATTGCCATTAAACATAGAACAGGGTTTTCTGGCAACCAATTTGGCTTCAGAAAACACCGGTCCACCATAGATGCAGTCCGCAAACTGATTGGCGTTGCGACCAAGGCGATAGAGGGTACTAGGTTGCGGAGTCATCACATTAGACGTGAAAAATGCTTTTAACTCGGCATATTGGCCGCAAATCATTAGGGCATCAGAGGAAAGG